CGTGACACGAAAGTGAAACGGACCCTGCTTGTAGTCGCGCAGACGAGTGTTTGTGATCGCCAAAGCCGCCTCCGACGAAGTATGACGAAGTCCACCAGGGATACCCTGCGTACAAGTCCTGCAAGCGTGTCTTCTTGTGGTTGTCATGGACACTCAATTGTCACCGATGCTGAGACTCTTGCACTTGCTGCCGTCTGCTTCACCACATATACGCTCCTTTCTGTCAGCTGTTTGTGAATTATCATGCTTGCCTGTTGGCCTTGTTACTACTGCTTGAAAATATCCTGCCTTCTTCCAGATTCACAATAATGTATAACAGCTGCCTGCTGCATGCTGCCGCCACTACCACCATCACCACCGCCACCAGCAGCTACTCATTTAAGCTATGAAAATATACGACTAGGGCCGGTTATAGAAAACCTCATCGGCTGATGCCGCATTCAGCAGAGCACTTGCTGTGCATTAAAGTTTGCGGCTTGGGCTAGTTGTTTTCTCTGAGCCTAGACTGCAACATGCCATCGCCATCGTCACGTATCGACGCCTCCGATTGCAACCGCCGAGAGCATTGGCGTGGAATGGAAGCAGTTGCTGATCTCACGGAACCGATGGCTGTCGCCCAGCTTGCTGCTGTTGCTTCCGCTACCATAATGCGAGGCGCCTAGCTACGGTTCCTTGCTATGCTTGTTGCCCTCACCAATTGTGTAGTACTTCTTGCTCCGGCATGAGACACACCGCCAAAGTGTTGCTACCGTTGTTTTACATGGTCATCAATACTACTGCTTTCGTCAGAGTGTCGCAGATCTGCTAGCTGGCGCTCCACGTCTAAAACAACCACATCAAAGCCAACATCCTGACAAACACCCTATCCAAGCAAGCACCGACAAGTGCCTGTGAGGTGGATGGCTCTCAATCTTTTTTGTGCACACGCAGGGCAATTGTGGTGGCATTGGTATGTTGCAGAGCACCAATTCGCCATCTCTGTGCGATGCGCAACCGTGGCTTGCGAAATCCTTTCTGATGGTTTGTTTGTATACAGAATCACCCTCCTAGTGGTAGTAGCTCTTCCTTGCACTAGTCACTATTCACATGAAGGCCAAGTGAACAAAGTCAGCAAGGCATCGCACTGCTCGGCTCTGGCCCTGACTTCTGTGGCTTCCAATCTTGGTGCCGCCGGCGGTTTCGGCGGGAGCTCTGGCTCGAGATTGGAGGGGTTTGGGGGGTCTATAAGGGTCTATAAGGGCTTTGAAGCTTGTTTCTTGTTACTCCCTGGCACACTCTAGCGCCGTCTTCATAATTAATTTCCGTCCGTGGAACAGATGTCTCCTGCTCCGACTCCGAGGTGGAAACCACCTGGCGACCCGAATCGTCTGGAGGATGTGCCCTCCGGTGCGCCGGTGCGCAAATAGGACCGGTTTACGGAGTTTACAGCTACACATTGACACGACCAAGCCCGCAGGCCGGAGTATGACGAAACATAAGCTCCTAGCATGTAGCCTACTTCGACACCAACAACAAACCCTACGTTCATACTTACGTATTGCCGTTCTTTATGTTGCTTATACCTTCTACCGGTTCTGACTTGAAAACTCTGTTCAGCATGGGAAGAGTGAGCTAGGAAGGAGGAGTCATGGGCCCCTTGTCCTTCGCGTGCCCGAGCCCCACATTCGGGGATTGCCGAGGATTGGTAGGCAAATGGACCGACAAGCTTACAGTAGATAAACTTACAATCACGTAAAGCGATTTAACTACCAAGATTACTGACAGACACCAAGCCATCTTTCCAAGTCCCAGGCCTCGGCTTCCGAGCTGCCAAGAGAATGGAATCTCACATCAAGTCGAGATACTGAGCGCTCCAGACTCATCGACTTTGAGACAAACCCTCCTGTAACACGTTGATAGGGGAGTGGTTGGACTGAGTCCCAAGTCTCTCGTGACGTGATGGTCAAGAAAAGAAGTTTGATGCAGGAAGTGTCTGCGGTCCTGCAAGTGTACTCGGTACTCCCTGCAGGCGCATCGATCTGGACACTAACACCATGAACAAGTTTAAAAAACACAACTTGCTGGACTTCGGACCATGCCTCCGAACCAGGAATGCATCATGTGAAAATCCGGCCTTGTCAGTGCATCCTTCAGCATTCACTGCAGGTGCACTGCTCCCGAAGGGTGTCACAACCTGTCCATGTGTTGCGCCTGAGCATACATGCCGTGATCCCTTCAGACTTGAACCGCTGCAAAAATTGGAGCCTTCGGAAACAAGGCCTTGCTCGCAGTTTGCACTATTTGCGCACAAGTGCCACAGCTGCACTGGAATCTTTAAAGCTCATGGTGGAGAAGGCCCGCGGAGAATGGCGAATGCCTCCTGCATGGCAACCCGAGTCGGGTTCGACCAAAGCTCCGGCGGCCCTGCTTCTCCGCAGGCGAATGCCACCATATGGTACAAACAGCAATAAGAGACGTGATGGCTAGTTGCTATGGAATATATGACTATATAGTAAAAGCATACTGAGCCTGTCATAGGTTCAGGGTACTATGATGCTTCTGCCAGGATCGGCTCGGAGAGAGTCGGCCCCGAGGTCACCGAGCTTGAATCGCCCTGGTTTCACTCGCAATCTTTAGGGTACTTTGTTGCCTCCCTAAAACCTCAACCCTAAATCTTTAGGGTACAGGGTGAAAAGGTGTTCAAGGTTTGCGGGGTTTCAGGGGTGTGGTCTAGGGCTCAGTAGCACAATCCGTGAACCACTTCCCAGAGCTGTAACATTGAACTCAAGCCCTAGCCCTGAAACCCCAAACTTGGAACTGCTAAAAGCTTTCAACTCCAAGCTCGGAGTTGAAGAACCTTAATAAGGAAGTCACTAAGCCTGATATGCATGTCTTGGGCTAAACGCTCCACACGGACCACCGGAGCTCGGGACCTTCATGAAACGCGGCACGGCGTGCAAATTTAAACAGCCGCAAACAATTGAAAGTTGGCGCAATCTGCTCTTAAACCGCAGAGGTACTCCGGAGCCTTCGGATGAAGAGATGGTACAGTAAGAATACCGCATGTAACACAGACGTACACTGAGTCGCAGCATCATGGAATAAATCGACAGCTGCGCAAACCAATGATATACCAACATAGACCGCCAATAGTGAAAGACCACACACCACGTGAGGCTACCACGACGACCGTGCACGACAAACAAGACGACCAATACCAGGATCACAAGGACCACCACAATGACCGCGACGAAGCTTGCGGCAACACAAAGCCATTGTTGCGCGAGAGGCGCTGGTTCCGCGGACAATAATTAGCCAGAACAGACCCCCAAGGAGTGAACGAGCCCTTGGCAGTCCAGTATTTCACACCCAAGCCGAACGAACTGCGGAGCCCATGCGCACCTCGAACTGCTCGTGGCATTGTCAATATCAGAAGCACGATGCTTAAGTTTGAAGGGATTTCCAGGCTACAGGAGGCGCGAGAAGCCGATGCTGAGACCTTGTCGAGTCGAGCGACATGAAAGACACAATGAACATGCGACCTTTTCGGAAGCACGATGTCCGCTCGAAAATGCTCGAAAGTATCCCAGAATGCAAACGTCACTGTGGTATCTAAGCAAATTCGGCAGCGTCAACGCATTAGATTTTTACAATGTTGAGTCCGGTCGCCCCGGCGAACGTAACTCGGCAGGTGCGAGACTTTGGAACGAACGGGGGTGTGTCGACGGTAGAAAGCATCGTGCCATATCAGCAGCCTCGGAACCGGCATTGCGCGGGCACTTCACACCTACAACACTTTGGTGCCTCTGCTCCTCTGCTCTGTATGTAAAAACCCATGGTGTTACCACAGTCTCACACACTTTCCAAGACAAAGCGGAAGACCCAAAACATTCCAAAACCGTGTGAGCAACGGGACTGTGCCTGGGGGCTGGGTTTCCATCCGAATGGAATCAACACCACAGCATAACGGGAGCATGCGAGGACACCCCCACGTGAATAAGAGTCGCAGCACGTTGCCGATCGTTACGGCACTGCTGGACACGGCTACAACACCAGACCACGAAACGAGTGTTGGCGATCTGATGCCGCAAGTCGTAGACCAATCTATCCGTGTTTCTGACTCAGGCGCCTAGGCTTCTGGACTTCTCTGCAGCTTCACAGTAGAATCCGGAGGAGACAGAATACCACTAGCGCCGGAACCACGAATTACCGGAAAGCCTCGGGAAGACCACGAGGTCTTGACCTATGGCGCGGTGGAGAGGAAAACGGTCGTAGCTCATGCAACCCGTCTTGACCCAACTCCTACAAAGCCCAGTGTGGCATGTCTACTAAGTCTCCCCAGCTCCGCTGCAGGAGCACCTGGAGTTCGCCAGTCCCCTGGCGGCTTCTGAACCTCAAACATTTTCACGCACAGAGTTGTAACAAACCTGATAAGGCGATGCCTGAACTCCAGAGCAGACTCAGCGTCTCGCGACCAGCAGTGAACTGCTAAAGATCCCGGGCTCAAAAGTATCCAGGTGTTAGACCCGATAGCGCACTTCGAACTACGCACCGAGAATTGGGTAGCTCCTCCAGGATTATCAGAATGCTGAAGTGATGGAATCTTCTGGGCTCACTGGTCGCTTGAAATCCGGGGCCCCTTCTCAGCTTCTACTGAGGTGAAAAATGCAGAACCCACGGCTCGCACATGCAACTCTCCGCACTATCATACAGGGGCCCAGGCGAGCAAAAATGTCTTCAAAAGATCTGGTTCAAACTTCAAACAGGGCTTCGGGGTATTGTCAGTTGCAAGATTGAGCGCAACGATCTGTCTGGGGCACACTACTCATGGAAGTGTCGGGTGTAAAGGTTCGCGGTATGTAGAGATCTCGGCCCTGCTTGCAGCCAAAAACCTCTAGTGGCATAAATGCCGAAATGGCCGTGAACTACGCTCTCTGGAAAATCCCCGGTCCTATCGCGGCCTCAGCCGTGAGGTGCATGGTGATTCGTGCACTGCTTAGACCCTGCAATTCACACTAAACTTAGCGGGAGCTCGATCTCCGGTGACTCACTGTCAGCTTGGTGTTGAACTGGATGAAGGTGCGCTCAACCGGTGCAGGGCTCTGTTCGGTGACAGCACGAATCCACTCCAGGCGGCGATCTGCGATGTCATCGTCATCCATAGCGGAAAGCGTTGATGCCCCATCTTCTGTGGTACCGGTGGTTCGGGTGATGGACCGCAAGAAGGCTGTCTTTTCCAACTCCGCTTCCTCCAGTGCCTGCGCATCTGCGAGCGACGGGACAGCAACCTCGTGAGGATGACCGGATTGCTGTGCTACGGCTCGAGCAGGTGCCGCAAGAACTGGCACCAAGAATGGCACTGCGATCACCGGAACTGGGATGGCCATCGCCGCCTGGCATGGCAGGCTGTTCGAGCACGTGGCACTGTTCGCGATCATGGGCTGGAGTGTGGTTTGCCTGGAGAAGGATCCCACATCTGCTGAGGAGCGCGGTGTTTGGACGGAAGAGTCGCAACCTTCCTGCTGGTCCTCCTTCAACGATGCCTCCTCCCTGCTTAGCTCAGACTCCTTCTGCATGAAAATCGCCACGGCCTGCTCGAACTCCTTCTGGTGCAGCACTTTGCTGAGCTTCTTGCGAAGTCGCTGCCCCACCCGGCGGCGAAGTGCCTTGGAACGCGCGTTCTCCACGGCTTCAATTGCTACTGCTAGGATCCTCTCGACCTTGCTCTGCAAGAGTAGTACTTCGGAGGATCCACGACTTGCCGCGAAGTTGATCTGCATCTCTGCATGCATCGTATGTCGTTGGACAGGGGCTGTACAGTTGAGTCACCCTCTCGCCTAGCAGAAACGAGCTTTGAGCCGAAGCCATCCCAATCACGCATTTGTCAGATCCACTGAAGCAGAAGTGATCCACCCGGAATGCCAAAAACAAAAGCACCACCTTGTTCTCAGTCTTGCTAGCAGCGCCAGACTAGCAAAGCGTATTTCTAAATTGCCCTCAAAGTCGTGATCTCCTCATCTTTCACCCCGCATGCACAAATCCCGGACAGTCCCGGCAGGTGCAGTTGAAGAAGACCGAACCGTCTTGGAAAACAGTTCGGCTTCCTCGGAGCTCCAGGGGCCCGATGGTGTATGTACGGATGTATGTGTGCATGTGTCTATACATGTGCGCATGTATGTATATATATATATACATATATAATAACAATAATAGTAATATACTACTAATAATAATATAAAACAAACGAATATAAATAATGTAAATATACATATATTATTATAACCTATATATTCATTCATCCATTCACCCACTCATGCATTCATCCGCTCATCCATCCATTCCATTCCATTCCTTCACGCATCCCTTCATGCATTCATTCATTCATTCATTCATTCGTTCATGTCATTTCATTTCGTTCCATTACATTCCAGTCCAATCATTCATTCATTTCATTTCATTTCGTTTCATTTCATCCATCCATTCATTCCATTTATTAATTCAATCATTCATGCATTCATTGAATCATTCATTCATTCATTCATTCATTCATTCATTCATGCGTTCACTCATTTCATTCCATTCCATTCAATCATTCATTCCATGCCTTTCTTCCTTCCTTCATTTAATTAGTCACTCATTCGCTCATTCACTCATTCATTCATTCCTTCACTCAGTCACTCACACACTCATTAGCTCATTCATTCAGTCCATTCATTCAATTCATTCATTCCATTCCATTCCGTTCCATTCCATGACCTTCCATTCAATTCCATTCCATTCCATTTCATTCATTCGCTCATTCATTCCATTCACTCATTCACTCATTCCTTCGTTGCTCTCTCTCATTCGTTCATTCATTCATCCATTCATTCATTCACTCGTTCATCCATTCAATCAATTATGTTTTTTGTTTTATGTAGGCGTGCCTATCTATGTATGTAGAAAGACAAACTGATAGATCGATCGAAAGATAAACAGATGGGTAGATAGATAGACAGACAGATAGATAGTTAGATAGATAGACAGATAGATACATAGATAGATAGACAGGTAGATAAAAAGATTGATGGCTAAATACATTATGCACACAGGTTACGGGATCTACTGCTGACGGTATAATCTGAAGAAGAGAGGGAGCTCAAATATACAACATGACAGCCACACTCACATCAAAGAGCCAAAGTCACAACAGAAACTGTCAAAGAAACACTCGCCTGCAGTTGCAAGACACATAGCACGACGAAAGTTCGCAGAATCTAGCAGAAGCAAGCATGCATGGGGAATGGCCGGGTTAGGCCCTAGCCTGTCGCATAAGAACAGGAGAGGCTCGAGCTCGAGACAGCTCCAAAATATCGTGAAGCAGGAACGACCTGTTCGACTCTAACTTTAAGAATTGTTCCTTGATACATTGCCAGGCTCTCAGACTTGCAGACCCGCATCCGAGGAAGCACATGCGTAAATCTCAAGCACCTAAGCCTAAGCACGAAACCCAAAGCCCAGCAGCTGATGTAGGTCGAGCATTTCTTGAAGCGATCGCTGACAGGCATGGTGCCCAGCTCAGCAAGGAAGGCTCCTGATACTTGGAGGATCGGTAGACGTAGTTTCGTCGAAGGCCGGCAGAACTTTAACTAAAACCAGCTGACCGGATGATAACCGCATGCATGTGTCCTGCTTACCCCGTTGTCTTGCAGCAGCCACATACTCATGGTAAGGTCTTCACATGCGGAATGGATAGCTTGCGGATGCAGCACTGTGTGCCAGAGCGTCTTCCTATATAGGGTGAAGGTGCAACGGGATTCGAACTTGCGGCTGGCAAGCTGGAGTGTCCTAATTAGATGAAGCCCTGGAAGCCCTTTACGATAAAGTGTATGCCGGGTCCTGTTATAAGCACCCAGATCACCATCTGAATCACGGATGCGCGAACGATAACAGCCCGAAGGCTGAGCATGATCTGGGCAATCCGAGGCACCTGTCCGGAGTTTCTATCGGCAGGCTTGGTCTAAAGACGGCTTCTCCACAATCCTCTCATGTGCTTCACGTGGGGCTGAATCCCAAGCCCACATCCGAGACCCTGAAGAGTAAACAACAACCAAGCTGCGTAGATAACGTCCATGTGCAAGATCCTCCAACTTACTAGACTCTGAATGCTAAACCCTATAGCGCTGAATCCTAAACCGGAGGCCAAGCCTCTCTTGCGATGGCGGTTTCTTAAGACTGGGGTTCTCTTTTGGGAGCCATTTTTTAAACAGTTCGACTTTTTAAGGACACTTCCGGTCGGGTGACCCTGAAGCGCAATGAAGGGGCCTTGGAGCTGCAGGGCAAACTTCGGGGTTTAGATCCTCGCGACAGGCATGTAAGTGATGGGCTGAACATCAGAATCCAATCCCTGAGAGGATGCCTCTCCGGCGGGATGCTTCCAAACGTTGCAGACTCGCAATGCAGAGAACAGCCACAAAGCAAAGCCGGAAAGGACGCAAATGATCCTCGGCGAGCCATGCTTGTTTGATTCTGGCCTAGGCTTGTATCACAAGTCTAGCTCAGTAGCGCCACTACATACAGTCCCACACATTTCATGCGGCGAAACGATGACAAAGGATAAGGAGACCTTGGTGAATATAAGTCTTGACAGATGCCATGCCCAGGCTTGGGTGCATCACGGCTACACGCCCGAAGGAGTCCCGTGCACAGCTTGCTAAACATGGAACAGCACAACCCATCCGGAAGTTTCAGAAAAAAAGCAAAGAAGCCCAATGCTGAATCGTACGGGCCTTGGGCCTTATTTAAGTACACCTGGTTTGAGAGCTTGAGATGCCTAACTTAGACTGCACATGTCTGATCCTCAGGCCAGTCCGACACCGCTAAGCATGTGTGAAGGCTGAGGTGAGCAGACATGCCAACTATTACACAGCGTGCAAGAAGTCCAATTCAAGGTTCAGGTGTGGGGATCTGATAGCAGACCTGTAACCTCGTATCAGCTTTACTCTTAAGTCGGAGCTTCGGAATCGAACGGCCCGTGGAAAAAACAAACTCGAATGTTCTGATCCTTGCAATAATGGCGGCGCCGCTAGATGCTGGGATCACAGAAGCTTGTTTTGTTTAGAATGGGGGGTTTGGAGGTTTTTGTGTGATCTTATGATCATTCTCTATATAGGGGCTCTGTCACTCAACTTGAATCGCACGGAGAGTGTCAGGAAGGTCAATGAGCGAGACGACGGCCCCCAAATGCTGAAGATCGGTATCTGGGCTGAGATTGGGGTCTCGGACTGTGGGCTTCGGGTTGGGGTGAAAGGTCTGCAGATTCGACGGTTTACAGTTCTTTGCCAAGGCAGAGACATCTGGAACTTCTGGTAGCTTGGATTCTGACTCCAGTATCCTGCAACTTCAGAGCCGGCGTGACCGAACGCAAAACTCTGAAACCCCAAAGCACTTGTGTTGCGGGTTACGACAGCCTACTACCTAGGACTGCCGAGGATGCTGCAGGAACAGGTGGTAAAAGGACGAGCAGCAAGCCCCTCCAAGCCTAGCGGGCACCTAGTGATGCCAAACCCAAGCACAAGATCCCTTAACAAACTAAGGAACAGAACTTACGAGGTTCACGCGAACTGGTAGCATGACTCACGGCTGGGCTGTAAGGGCCGTGAAGGAAAAGAACAGAAGCAGGCATCTACAGAGCTGGACGAGACAAGCCTACCGCGAGGTTTAGGGAATACTCAAAGTGTACAGGATGGTTTTGAGAAGGAGTGAAGCCGGCCGGCAGCCAACTCACGGGCGGGCACGCAGAAGGCAGCCTTCATCCCAAACCCCTCGAAGAGGTCGATACCTGATAAAGGCTGCTCTTCAGAAAACAACGCTCGTTTTTGCAGCTCCTGAAACTGATACGGAAGCCTGCTAAATCCATGAGCAAGCAACACAAGAATTCCGCCCAACACCCGAGTGAAACTAAACACGCGTGTGTATTATATATGTTGCGGTAGATATGCTAGCTTATCGAGAGAAGGTGCTTCCACACTCAAACAATCCAGCAACACTTCGGGTCGCTCGAACAGATGCCACGCTCTGCCGCTGGATCAGAGACAGCACAACTGCTTGAGGCTCTACCAAACACATCGACGTTTGAGGAATATCCCATGGCCAAGCAACTCGATGGATCATGTGGACACACGTATATGTAAGGATGCAAAAACAAGACTAACGCCTGCCATATTGTTACCCGCGGCATGCAGACAGCTGTTGCAGCACGAAGCATTGCGGGATGTGCCTTCGGTGAAGGGTAATAAGTAGATGGCAAAGGCTGTCAGCGGATTGATCAGC